AGCGAGAGGAGCTACCAAACCTCTGACTCTCCGGCCAAAATTAAACTTCTCGATACGGTGAGATATATTTCCTGCTAAAATGTGAGGCTCTGTCCGACAGCAGTGACCACATATAGGAACAAAAAAATTTTACACTGCTGAAATCCTTCTACATGTGCGAATACTCCAAGCCCAAGAGATGTTCCGATAGAAATAGTTATTTTTTCCTCTTTTCCTTTTCGAACAGGAAACTTCCCATGAACACGGCATGCAGTTCCTAAAAAAAGAGGAAAATTTTAGAAGAAAGGGAAGCTGAAGTGTTATAAGAAAATTCATGCGGTATCCCTTAAGTTTTGAATATAAGATGAATAGAAGACTAGCGCGTCTAAGCAGCCTTGCGTTCAAGGCAGACGAAGTGGTACGTGCGCGCAAAGTGTTCACTTAACTAATTTTACTCGACAAGCACACAATGTGAGCCTCGTGGTAGATCATCGCTCGGAAACAGAGCGCTGTCGATTTCAAATTATAATTGAACTTCATAAGAAAATCAATCATGAAAAAGTACCTTCATCTGCACCATTGGATGCCACAATTTGGAACATCCCCATACCATTTCCGATCATGAAGATCTCAAGCATAAGAATGGAATGTGTTAGATTTGTAATATAAATACGAAGAAACCTACTAGCTGACCATTTCCCAGACCATCAGAATCTTTATTATTTTTCCTTTGCTCAGTGAGGGCTACAGCCTCATCGTTTTGTTTTTTATTAGCAAGTTGTTCCAGGTTATCTTCAACATCCGAGTCCACGTACTGAAGCTAAAACCGGAGGCACACTTCAAAGATGCTGCATATTTAAAAACAGACAAAAAAATTTAAAATAGAAAACATCTTAGCCTGTCCAACCTCTTCAAGCCCTCTGAGACCACCATGGTTGATTGCGGCATGTGCATGACGCAGAACTGTCCAGTACATTTGCTCCTCGTCTGTGAATTCAAATCTAAAATTGTAACCTAGCACAAAAAAAAAGAGACTGGTTGGCTACCTACAGCATCCAGGAACACAAACCATAACCAAGGATGGGATGTATCAATCTCCTGTCGAAATCGGGCGTTTCACCCCCGATATCGAATATAAAGCAACGATTATAACAGCTCTGCTATTGGCAAATAAACTCAACTCTAGGCTCCCTAAGCTAGATTATCTAATAAAAAATTATGAAGCCTAAACAAGATGAAGCAGACTCTCAGTATCTCGAAGTTGTTCCTCATGGAATGAGCAAATCTTTTAAATCAATCTACCACCACCTACTTTTCAAGATTTAATGAAAATGTCAGCAATTCTATTAACCAAGCTGCCATCCAACGAATATTACAAAATACAATGATAATGCTTCCAGCTCAAAACATATTTTTCTTGTGCACATTGCTCCTTTCTGAATTTCATTATTCAAAATGATAGAATCCCCTCAAACCTAAGCAATCGGTATTTATAACCAATTTACCATGCTATGCACATGGAAAAAAATCCTCACACTTTTACCCCCTTCTGTACACAGTTGAAGAAAATAAGAAAAATATTGAGTAAATGTAAATGATTATAAGTCACAGAAGTACCTGGTGGGATCTTTCTGAATGCTCTGCTGCAAGGGAGCAAATATTCCACCGCTTTCATCCATACTACTCATGACTGCAAGATTATTACAAGGCGTTGCTACAACCATATCCATATCCAGGTTGGGAAGACTGAAATGAAAAAAAATAAGAAGACCACTTTCTAAGAAAATGTACTTTCTAAAAACTTAGCAATATAGTAAACCTACTCGTAGAGAGCTGTGTCCACGTCAAAACGGTACTCGTACTCTCTGTTGCCCGAAATATAGTGTGCAAGTTCGCCAATAACAAGACAGAATATAATCGAAAAACATATAATAGAAACTAGAAACGAAGATTTTATAACAAATTCGCAAAACAAAAAAGGATATATCTAGCTTACTTAGACCGGATGATAGTTTCTTCTCTTCCTTCACATTATCAGTAACTTTTTCAAAAATGTCTAGGTCTTCAACTAATCGTTTTACACCCGTTCGCCTTTGGCGCAACCCATCGGCTTCAAGGCTCATTACTAAATCGTGACTTGAATTACGAAAGGAACCGCAATCTACAAGTTTACGAAGATGTGGATCCAGAAGGAAAGCAATGGCGAAATTGGCGCAATCTAATAATTTGACGAAGCAGTTCCAATTTGTAGTTTTCCCGGACTCCTGACAAAAATACAGCTCTAGGCAATCCGCACAGGACCTCAATTGTCGCTCGCAAAAGCGCTTTAAGGTTGCGTTTCTATCCTTAATCTTAAATTTTCATCCTTGTATGGAAAGGCTATTTCTACTTTTATGGCAAAATGTTACAATTTTTTTCGTCCCTCAAGGTAATTTTGGGGTCATAGATTCTTCTTCCTCATCAAACATTATCTTTAATTACCCATTATTTACGTATCTGTTTGCTGACCACAGCTTGTACGCGTTTTATCTAGAGGTAAATCAATTGTTAACCCATCAAGAACATAAACCTAGCTAACATTTGATAAAATTCATTTAAATAATCAAGGTAAAGTAAACCATAAAAAATTCAAATAGAGCGATACACGCGATCAGTAAAGTGGGGAGCCGGTCGTCAGGGGGTTAGTATGCCTAGAAATTATAATTACAATCTTCTACAATATAAATTTATCTCCTACATAAGCTTAAG